TATAAAAATTATAGCGCATTTCTTTCCCTCTCTACAGTTTATCTATTTTCTATCGTATTTTGATTCCCGGAGAGAGAGAGAGAGAGAGAGAGAGAGAGAGAGAGAGAGAGAGAGAGAGAGAGAGAGAGAGAGAGATTTTTAAACTTTTTCATGAAATTGGCCGGGTCTGTCGGTAAGTTACGACAGATAAACAAAACTTAAGGAAAAGTGGTCAGTTTCTTTCTAGGACTCATGGACACGACTTAACATTATGGAGTGCTAATGTCATCAGTCCAAACTCTTACCAGAACAAATTTTAATTAGAGTAAAAAATTCGTGTTAAGTCTGTTCTTGCATGAAGTTCTTGGAGAGTTGGTGTGCAGGGGTTATGGCAGAGATAGATAGATGGAGTGGTGATTATGTAGACAAGTAGGTATATAAGGTTAGATCAGGACAATCACATACTTGGATCATTCTGAATACATTTATTGTCTGAGGAAAATTGCCCGAAATAAGGCGATACCATCCACATCCATTCCTTCTATCTGTAGATGCTCCCGTAAAGATGGCTATTGGAAAGTGACCCAAGGCTGTGGGCAAAAGGTAGCCCATATTGGCGAACATGGTAGTCTTCAGCTGTAGGGAGTTGAAATTATCTACAAGCTGCACATATATCCATGTGGTCTTCCTCACCCTGCTATATGGCAGTGAGACATGGGTCACATACAGGAGACACCTTAAGGCACTTGAAAACTTTCACCATCGTAGTCTACGTTCCATCCTCCGAGTTCGCTGGGAAGACAAGAGAACGAATGTCAGTATTCTCGCTGACACCAACTGTAGGAGCATCGAGGCTGCCATTATCCATGGATAACTACATTGGACTGGCCATGTTACCCGCATGGACAACAGTAGACTGCCAAAGCAGCTACTTTTCAGTCACTTAATGAATAGTAAACGTAACGCTGGCGGACAACGGAAAAGGTATAAGGATAGCCTTTAGACAAACCTGAAAAAGTGCCAAATCGACCCCTTTACCTTGGAGACGATTACTCCACACCGTAACGCTTGGAGGAGCACCACATAAGAAGGTGTCAATACTTTCGAGTTAGCCCGACTGCAGACCGAGGCGGGCAAGCACCAACGCTGGAAAGACGCTGCCGCCGCCCCTCCCGCACTAGATGTACCCCTCCATACATGCAATATCTGTTGACGGTCCTGCCGGTCTCGTATTGGCCTCTCGAGTCACCCCAGAGCAAACCAACGAAGTTGACATTTCAAATAACTCATATTATTGTACCATAGTTGCATGATCGTCATACTCGATTCCGACTGACAGCAAAATAGTAGTAGTATATCATACTATAGTTGGAGTTTGCGTTAGAAATAAATTTCATAGAAAAAAATTTTATGCAAATATATTTGAAAGAAAAATCATAATGTATTATGGAATGTTGTTGTGGTCGAGCGTCCTTACTATTGTGAAGGCCAGACACTAGTAAGACTCAAGGTTGTGAGGATAATTCTTGGCGAGGGTGTGGTGTCCTGAGAGAGAGAGAGAGAGAGAGTAAAACATTCTTCCAACGGATCTTGAAACCAATGCATCCGACCGTAGTCTATAGCGCTCGTATTGTACCCAAGGCGTCAAACATCTAAGAGAACGAGCGTAATAGGGCCAGATGTGTACGGAGGGAAAGGAGACAATCGCGCTCCTAGAGACCTTCCACCCAACCCACAAGCTGTCCTGACCAATGTGCGATAGAGCCTGCGGGTCAAGGATCGGACTCCACAGCCTCATCCAGTGGCACCGCCGACAACATCCCTGGTTCACCACTCATCATCATCATTGATTTTATAATGAAGCAGAATCGTCGTCGTTAATAACAAAAGCCGTAAATAAGATATCCAACACAAAGAAAAACTGAAGCCCAGAGTACGTGGTGAGGAAATGGTAGTGAGCAGTGACCACCTATCTATTGGTGAAGGAAAGAAATACAAGGGTTTAATGCACTAGCTGTTTGACTTAGAAGATGAATCAAGTCGATGCCTCTGTTTTCCAGGGACTGAGAGCGATGATTCATTTAATAAGCAATTATTGTTATTAAATTGAAAAGTAGTGAAAACTTTAATAATTTCTGGTGAAGGAAAAGTGAATAGAAATGTATTAATGATACGCTCAGGTGGAAAGTAGTGAAAATCTGATCATTTTTGGTGAAGGGAAAGTGAAAAGAACTGTAGTAATGGTATGTTTTGGTGAGCAGTAGACACACAAGATGAACAGTGCCACACTAGACCTTGATTTGTGATTCAAGATGGGATTTACCGTAAAGGGAGACACGGATGTTAATGTCGGCCAAAATCTTTACCATGAAAAGAGGAGGAGGAGGAGGAGGAGGAGGAGGAGGAGAAGGAAGAGAAGAAGGAGAAGGAGAAGGAGAAGGAGAAGGAGAAGAAGAAGAATTAATGAATAAGACAAGTGTATATATTTAGGCCTATAGTGTGGGAAGACTTTAATGGTCGTGGGTGTAAAAAGATATGTGACTGTGAGGACTAAAGACAGCAGTGAAGTGATGTTTACGTTTACATGTCTAACACTACCATAAGAGAAACAACAAGATGAAACCAAAAGATGAAAACAAATCTTAATAAAGTTTATAATGTGGGAAGATGAATCATGTATGGGCTGGCCAGGTATATAGAGAGAGGCAATAATGACGCTCGGAGTTCGATATGACTTAAACTGTAAAATATTCAAGGGGGAATAAGGACGTGACAACAGTTTAAGCTGATATATCTCTCACTCAAGGCACCTTGACGTGTGGCCTTGGGAAGTCCTTCAAGATTCAATGACAAGGACGCCTATTAGAACACAATCTGGTATAATCACTGTCCTCCACGAGACTTACCCAGGTTCAAAATGTTTTTATAGTGAATTTGATTGTTATATGTATAAGTTGGTGTGTGTTACTTTACTGCTCCTTAGTGTGGTTAAACATGCATAAGTGAGTGTGTTTGTGCTTGCGTTCGCATATGAGCGAGTGTACTTGCGTGTATTTGTCGTTGTAATAAATAATAATAATAATAATAATAATAATAATAATAATAATAATAATAATAATAATAATAATAATAATAATAATAATTAACGGTTTATTGAAAGAGCATGGCAGCCGGAAGGCTGAAAATATACAGTTACATAATTGGGGAATGGGTCACTTGATTTACAAATAATATACATGTAATATAAGTGATACAAATATGATATATAATAACTAGGTGGGGAGAAGGTTATACTGCAGGGCATTTCAACACAGTGACAGTACAAAAAGTGAGATTGACTGGGAGTGAATACACTGATTGATTACAAGTTATTGATAATTTTTACAATGGTTGGGACTGGGCTGTTCTTCTAGCGATCAGTTCGTGCTCGTATGGGCTGGATGCGGTTGTGGTGTCGAACAGCAATTCTCGGACGAGGGATCTCGCGTGTGTGCGTGTTTTCTTTTTCATGTGTCTGCGTAGAATTGAGTGTCTTTGTCGTCTAAGTATATGACATATCTATTGAGTTGAAGTGACGATTCGAGTAATTGTAATTTTATGATTTACTTTATAGGATCAACAATCATCTTCATCATTTTATTTATAACTTCTGCAACATTTTTGTACAGAAAACTCACAAGTAAGCATTCACCCAGGCACCTCCATCCATACATAACAACAGGACGCCACACCTTCTCTAAGCATAATCATGACAACCTTGGCTGTTGACAACTGTCCTTCAAGTGGTTGCTAGCTCATCGTGACGATAAAATTCCGAAAGTGCTTGTTGTCAGATAACGATTCCTAAGGCAGCCTCCAACTATCGCAAAAATACTATCCGCCTCACCCAAAGAGTAATGTCATAATGGTAATCACATACGAGGTAGAATGCTCAGGTCAAGTAATGTTACGTGTCAGGAGAGGTTGAGGGTAGAGGCCTCAGACTGACAAATGCAGGCTACGGGCGTTCCGGCTTTCTTTAAAACATATCAATATATATTCTTGTTCGGGTTAAAGAACTAAGTCACAGGATAAGTTTACATTGTAGGAAAATAACTACACGTTTCATGTAGTTGTTCAGCTCCGTTTTTTGTCGTATTTTTCGCCTAACAAGCTCAGATTTTATAAAAAGCTATAACATGTACTATAAATATTTTTGTTGCATTAAGAATTCCATTTTTTAGATCTGTTGTATCTAAAACTGACGTTAATGTATTTATTATATTACATGAGAAATTTGTTTATGTTTCATCTATCAAAAGTTTTCATCAACCCACAAGTTGTTTATCGTGAAGTTCTCCTGACACTGTACACAACACGTGGCCACAGGTTTGAGGCGGTCAAGAACCTCGTCCTCTGTGGCAGGTGGGAAATATTATACTATACATCTATTTTTCATAACAGTGAAAACTTTCAGATAAATTTATTAATTATTTTTACCCGATGAAATATTTTTACTTAAAATTCCGGGAAACAACAAAATAAATGAGGAATAACAATTATTCACAGACTGGAAACGGATATTATTCATCTGAGGACAAACAAGGAGCGGCGGCACCCTCTCCTGGCTCCCGGCGTCCTCGTGAACCCTCACTGGGGTCGACTGGCAGCTGGATGCCACTGTCCCGGAGGTGTCACTTATAGATCATGCAGAAAAGAAATACGACAGCAAAAACAACTATGCAATTATTAGGCTTTAATAAACATCATCAGCTGTGGTAACTTAGCTGCTCCAATAACTTGAGCCTCATCAGCTGTCTGTCTCTTCACACGGCGTCGTTTAAGGGACACACGTGGCCATTGTCCGTTACTTATAATATTTTGTTTTAAAATTTGGGGACATATTTTATTCTTTATGGACTTAAGGTTAGAGAGATGAACCAACTCATACTACAGTTGTCCTGGCAGCCTTGTTCAGCTCCATCACCACACCGAGACGCATAATACCTGGAGTGTGACAAGTTCCTCAGCCAGGTGATCTGGGTGGTGAAGTGGCCGGGTATAAAAGAGTAGAGGGCCTCTTCACACACACTCAGTCATCTCCTCGTTCACCAGAAGAGTGATACATCGTAACCATGAAGGTCTTGGTGAGTCCCAAGTGTAGAATTTCTATATTATGCACAACAGTTTCTTGTGTCTCAACACAGTTTTAGCTGACAACAAGTCCCTTTGGTGGAATTATCCCCCCCCCAACACACACACACACACACATTACTACATCATCAGGCCCCTCGTAACACCATCTGTGAGGGAATTACTACACCACGTCAAGCCCCTCATAACACCACCTGTGAGGGAACTAGTACTCCACGTGATGCCCCTCATAACGCCATCTGTGAGGGAGTTACTACACTACGTGTCTGCTGTTCAACACCTCAGCTCACATGATCTACGTGTGTAAACATTAATCTGTATGTTCACTGTATGTTCCTTCACCTTTCTCTAATGAAGGCTTTTGTTAAACCACCAATGTATGTAATAAGTCATTTATGTCCAATGTATATTTTCAGCCTTCGGGCTGCAAACTTTTTCAATAAACCGTTTATTATTATTATTATTATTATTATTATTATTATTACACACACACACACACACACACACACACACACACACACACACACACACACACACACACACACACACACACACACACACACACACACACAAAAAGGAATTTTCGAAAATAAACCCTCCCATTAAACCTAAAAACACTGCAGGTTTTTTTTATTGTTATAACTCTAAGAACGTGAATGACTATTTGAGAAATAATATCAATTGTGATTAATTTAAGACGTAATTTAGTACTTTAAAGAAGCAGTAATGACTTAGTTTAGGTCAGATTAGGTTGGTTAAATTACGCTAAGTTGAAATCATATATAATGTACCTACAAAACTGTCTCCACCTGTTCCTGTTTCCATAAAAATAACACAACTAGTATTAAAAATGTCCACATTCGGCCCCACACCCGAGCACATGGTACAGTTATATATAGAGAGAGAGATGTACTGTACATGAGTTAACTTATCATTCTTTGTACCGACAGATCCTCGTCGTCCTGCTTAATGTTGTTGCAGCAATGCCAAACCCCGCAGCAGACCCAGACCCCGCAGCACACCCAGATCCCGCAGCAGACCCAGACCCGGCAGCAGACCCAGACCCCGCAGCAGACCCTGGTTATGGTTACGGCTACGGTGGCGGCTTAAGCTATGGCCGACCTCTGTACGGCTACGGCTATGGAGTCCCTTATTATAGCCATGGCTACCGTCTGCCCTACTACAGCTATAGTTACGGTCTGCCTTACTACAGCTACGGTTACAGGAAAAGTCTTTACGGCTAAGTGGCAGTAAATCCTAGGACAACCATGACTACCACCATGTGTACCCAACCAAACAGTACAATCCCCCTCATGGACACAGTAAAGAACTCCCCTTAAGCATGATATTGTCCCCTATCAAATATTAAAGTATTGGCAGCATCATTTGTGTTTCATGAATACCTGTAACATGATAGCTGTTTATTGATATACTGTAGAGAGAAACAAGAGAGATGAAGTGACTTATTTAGAATATCTGAAACAATAAGTGAAATTAGAGACTGTTGGTGTGTTTGTGCCTGAAGGTGATTATCAAGACAGCATCAGAATTAAATCATGGATAATGTGAAGATTAGGCACCCCAGCTTAATTCACCTGATAAAAAATAAATAAAATAATCACCGTAATGCTAACAGAAACGATCCTAACCTAACCCTAACACTCCCTAGGTATCGTAAGACTGGGGGTGCTTAATATTCACATCATCTGAATTATTTGTTGTAATGCTCTGATCACTTTAGGTATGTCAGGCTATGTCACTGACTAACCTAAACCTGTATAATTTCTTCAGAGATCTTACCCAAGCGGTTTTTTTTTATCGAGTTACATAAAAGATGAGTTCAACTTAGATAACCTGTCGTGCCTACAGTATTTTATCTACAAGTTTACTTACAGAAAACTCACAGACTCATGAACAGAGATATAGAGAGATTCATAGATAAACTCTCACAGAAAGACAGACTCACCGGGAAATTCACAGACTAAAATAATACACAGATATTCACAGACAAACAAAGATAAACCCACAGAAAGATTCAAAGACTTACAAACGACGCTTCAAGTCCACACAAGCAGGGATAAAAAGTTCTTGCGCTAAAAACTCTTGGATTTATGGAATACGTGCAGGAAAGTTTTTAAAAGATGTGTTTTATATCTTTATTGGAGGCTGGAATAAAGTTTTGAATGGTTTAGTTGAAAAAGAATGACTTGATCACCAGGAATCATAATAATAAACATTTGATCACCTTATATTTTTTTAACATACTCCAATGGTATTTGTATTCAGAAACGTGAGATTATTCGCCTAAGAGAATAAGAGTGTTAGTATTATGAAGACTATTACTACGACTATTATTACTACTACAACTACTACGACTACCACTACTGTTATTATCATTATATCCAGTAACAATGCCACTGATGTCATCATTACTGTTATCAATAAGCCTTTGGAAGATAATCTATAGCTAACGATAACACAAAGTCACTTCATTCACTCAGCTGTAAGAGGAAAAACCTTGAGGCTGTGACTAAAATAAACCCATTTATACTTTACATGAGGAGAAATTTGGTAATTCCCGCTAAGTATGAAGCAACTAACTCTTATCACGGTAATGTTTTTACACGAGATACGCTGCATGCCTGAAGGTTGTGTGTTTGTTTTCACCTTGTGTGTGTGTGACCTGTGAAAATCTACACACACACACACACACACACCAACGGGCTTAACATCTAAAAACAAAATAACATGAGTACTCTACATTACTAAGTACTCAGACAATTTCTTCTGTTTGTATCAGACTTCACACAGTGTCCCAACATTGTAGTTCTTGTCGTAACAAAGTTTTTAGTGAAATTTCCGATTACATTTATTTTTATTTTTGGAGAGTGTTACGGTTTACGGTGTTAATAAATGATCTTATTTCAACGTGGAAGTTTTTTTTCTTCTTCGGTAAATGATGTCTGAGATGTCTGCTGCAATCTAGTGTTGGTATTATCCGATAAACTGTTTTGATGTGTCACGTATATATGAATGCACAATTTCCATCAGTTTTCGTAAATGCGTTAATTCACCCAATTCGTTTAAGGAACGTCGTATGTGTTGTACTATACATTATATTTGGAGTATTATATTTCGATTTTTTTTCTACTAACTTACAGTAACCTACATAACATTGCAATATATTGATCTGATGAAAATAAGTTTCAAAAGAACTACTGTAATATGTGTTTCATTTCACCACTAGTTAGGTTCCTTTACCCTTAGGACCGCCCGAATTTTCTTGTAAATACGGTATCAGTAGTCACAATCCGTCCCCGGGAAGATATACTGTAAATGGAAAGTAAAAAAATAAAATAAATAAATAAATAAATAAATAAATAAATACCGACCTTAAACAACTAAAGCGGCGAAGAGAAATTTTTACAAGTAGAAAGGAGAACAAAAAAAAAAAAACAGAACACGAGGGTCATTGACTCACCACAACAAATAAGGAAACTGAACAGGTAGAAGGCCAACAATACCAACTGGAAAAAAAAAGTGTTGTTGTTTATTACAGAAGGAAAATAATGATAATAATGTAATATCTATACATTGACGTTTATAGATATATGTAAAACAACAAACAAAATTCAACGTGTATTTTTCCTTGATTACCACCACCTCCTCCCGTTACAGTAAAATATATATACACACACACACACGACAACTTGCTTGTATAGAGCCACACCCAACCAGGTCCTACCACGGATGGTAAGACTGCTGTTATGAAACTCTCTTATTTTGGCCTTCATGTTGACAGATGTCCTCCAAACAGCTGTCAACTGCATCAGATATATAACTATCATCCAAGTTGGTTTGTTGTCATCAGGAATTTATTGAGATAATATTTTGGTTGACTGAACAAACTTTTGTGTTGTTAGTCGGGCATAAAATATAGCGAGGAGATAAACAGTTGTCTCGATCCAGCCTAAGAACCACTGAACAGTTTTTCCCCGATTCTTTTATTCCACGAGAAGTATTGATGTTACTCACGTCGGAATCATTTGCCCCACAAGGTGAATTTACTAAAAATAACGATACACAACATAAACCATATTCTTTATTTCTTTTTGGTTCTCATGATATAAATATTTCTTGGGATTTAGAATATAATCAATTTATATATTCCACTAACGGAAGAATTAATTTCTTTTAATAATCGTATTTTACGGAAGACCAAACTTCAGGCCCTGTAGGAGTTTCAGTTTCCACCTCTCACACTACTGATTAGGGGCAGCTGATCACTTAGTAAATAAGGTACACATAATATTCTCCAAGTAATCACCTTAAAAGTTCTATTACCTTTTGCTGTCTGAGAGGAGACGAATGGCCCGAGTTATTGTCATCACAGAACTGACATAATAACAGACTTAACAGAAACAGCTCACGGTCCTGGAAGCCTTTACTGTAACTAGGTACAGTTGTAGATCTTTAAGATACTACTATTACTACTGCTACTCTTTTTTTTTTAAATGACCTCCAGCCTCCCCCAATAACCATACCTTCGCCACCATTTTATGACCTTAATATTAAATATCCTAATACATAAGTAGCAATCCTAGCTGTGTTGAGTTAGTTGAGCCGCAGATCTATGCAGCATTCAGTGACTGTAGCCTCAGAGTCAATATCTGCAGCTGTTGTCGGCTTTGGGGCCGATGCTCTTGTTCCTCTGAGGCAGAGCAAAGCCGTACTACTACTACTACTACTTTTTTTTTTTTTTGGCCTCCAGCCTCCCCCAATAGCCACACCTTCGCCACAATTTATTTACCTTAATATTAAATATCCTAATACATAAGAAGCTATCCTATCTGTGTTAAATTAGTTGAGCCGCAGATCTATGCGGCATGCAGTGACTGTAGCCTCATAGTCAATATCTGCAGCAGTTGTCGGAGTTGGGGCAGAAGCTCTCGTTCCCCTGAGGCAGAGCAAAGCCGACCGAAGGAGAGAGAAGGACAGTCGACATCTCATCCAGGCTGTAACATAACTTCTGGGCTGCTGCTTCTGTTCGGAGATCAACTCCGCGAGTCTGGCATAGAAACATCTTGCACTTGGGCCCATCCCACCAGAGGTTGTGAACACTAGAGGAGTGAAGCTGCCTTGATCAACGTTTTGAATTCTCTCCCCATATGCCCTTCTCTTGTCGTTCTCGTTCCTCCTATGTGCAGCATCGAGAGCTAGGTTACGGTGACAAGCGGCCATGGGATCAAAAATCCTGATGTCGAAGAAAGCTCGCTGTTCCCGCGTCCAGAATCCTCGAGCACTGACGTCCACACGGGCTTCGTTAGATGTGTTTGAAGTCTGTGTTGGAAGATCTCGCCATCCAGTGGAAGGAGGGTCGGTTCTACCATGACGTCCCGGCAGATTTCCTTCAACATATTTGCTGTGAGATCCCTTACCTCTTCATGCCTCATGCATATGAAGCCCCCCTTCTTGCAGACCATGGCGTGATCGCCATTATAGGAAGAGCCACACACGCATTGGGAGGGCAAACCATCTACTGGCCAACCGTACCTTAGAGCAATGGCATCTGTAAATTCTTGTTTGTTAAGGCTGAAACCATTTGCCCTTATCGGTAACGTAGTTAACCAGTTCGAGGCGCCCACCTCCTGCGCTATAGCTACTTTTTTTGTCAAATTTTCTGGAACCTGCAGCAATAGTTGCTGCAACATGTCATTTTGGCAGTGCTGCCGATCTGTTGTAATGGACCTACGGATCTTATTTACTTCGCTGGTGTCCACTTCCCCTGTTGCATTCTGGGCTATTATGTGGTCAGTGAGGGCTGCCGTGAGCTTAAGTGAATTTTGATGTTCAGTGTCAGCAATCTCCTCTGGATTAGTTAGTCCCATCCCTCCCAGTCTTGGTGGAAGTGCAAGAAGTGTTCTTTCTGCTGGGGTTAAGTCAGGGTGTTTCACTAGTTTGGGAATGAACTTGACACTGATAGCTTCTTCCAGAGGGTGGAGGAGGGGTCCGATCTCAGGGATGGTACGCATCAGGTAGTTCCAGCGATGCTTGACTCCATGGGTGAATGCTGCAAAGGCCCCATGTGGCTCTGTGTTAGCAATCTCAGATAGAGCTTGGATTTCGCTAACCCACTCATTCACCTTTCCCGCTACGTACTCGGTCTTGAAGTCCGTAGTGCCAATTACTGCGCCTAGATGTCTTTGGCCGTCCTTAGTTATTTTGACCTCACTTCCGCCAAAAACCTCCAATGCCCGTTCATAATGTTCTGGCTTCACGATGAGGAAGGACTTGCTGGCGTTTGGGAGGTACCCTATTTGAGGACCTCGCGATGTTACCAGGTCCCACCACTTTTTGATGCCCTCCACTTTTTGATGCACTCCAC